GTAAGTTTTTAAGATGACTCTTAGATCATTTATCATGATCTTCCTGCATCTTTTTGAGTCTTAATTTTACCTCAGTTATTGACTTTACTTCTTTGAGATTGGCCTGCCAGTTTTAAGAACCCACAGACTCTGAGGGTTTTCTGCTACCCCCATGTTATGTTTTAATGTAGTATTAGGAAGACATAATTAATTTACGTTTTTGAAACAATTGCTATGGTAATGAGCATCAGACATGCACGCGCACACACACACACACACACACACACACACACACACACAAACTTCCCCTGAGGCAATGAATATTCCCTTTATTGTGAAGAGTTAGATGGCAATGCTCAAGAAGGTCTGGAAAAATATGATCAATAATGTTTTAATTCTAATTTAAGTAAGGCAACAACTTCCATAATGCACACTGAAAGATAGTCAGGGATCCTTAGGATATTTAATCATGTAATTGAACTGTACCATAAAGCATAGTAGATTGAGTACATAAGCATCTTTTCTGTTGGTATTTTCTACGTGTGAATGTTTGACTTCTGCAATCCTTTAGAGGAGGTGTTTAGTAGTTAGTGTAGATACAGAAATATAAATCCTTAGAGAAGAGTACAATTCACATGTATATAAGTGTTAAGTTAATCTAAGCGTTTCACCCATTTTAGGCCAGCTGCATTTAATAAACCTTACTATAACCCTCTGTTAGAGTTCTGAGGAAGCCAATAATGTGGCTAAAGATAGCTATTAGATGTAAAACTATATTTGCTTTACACTTTATTTATATATATGTATATGTATTTAGCGCATTTATGAATACTTTTAAAGTGCATATGTAAGATAAAAAGGTGATTCTTCTAGAATGTCATGAATATAAGACAATACCTTACTGCATTGCAGTGAAATGCTGAAATGTTACTAAGTGGATATCCTGCAGTGCAGGATTTGGGCTGTGGATTCTGTAGAAGGAGCTGAGCTGTACTCTGATAATGATGAAAATATCCTTAGGGTGTAGAAATCATTATAAAATAGTATAGTTATCACATGTATAATTTATACCATTATAATCTAATCGTCCCTATAATTTATTAAATTTGTAAGCATTTAACATATATATATGTATATATATATTTTTTGCTAAGATTTCTGCATTCATCTTTTTAGTTGTTTTCTTTAAACAAAGACATGAAAATATCTACCTCTCTCAGAAGTCAGTAGGAAGAGATAACAAAGATTTTGTAAAAAAGCAAATAAAGCAATCGAAATTTTCAAATGTGACTTTCCAGAAGAATTGTAAAGGTTTTATTTGCAGTAAGGCAATTTTGTGTTAATTGCTTATACAGTTATAGAAGTGGATAATTACTACAGAAGCTTTTTCTTGCCTGAAATAAAAACACCAAAATTCTATGACATGGAAACCCATTTGAAAAGGTGGAGAAATTTGCATAAGCTCCTGGCTGGTTATAGTTCCAACAAGGGTGGGCTTTCTCCCATACAGGCACATGTCCCAGGTAGGAATATTCTTGCAGTTTGCAGTGGAATGCATGTTGGGTTGAGTGGGTTATCTTGCCTGCTAGCTGTGCAGTTCCTCAAATTTTGTTCTTCATAGCAATAGCCAGCTCAGACCTTCCTTGTTCTTACTAGACTGAAATGACTTTTCTCATCATATTTGTGCTCTGTGGCTGTTTGTTTATTCTGAAGTATGTGCCTGTGGCTTCTGTTTGCCCTCCTATGTCATGAGTACATGCTCTTCATGTACTACGCGTAAAGCAGCTGACAGAGCAGTGTGGAGGTGGGCCAGGAGCAGCTATTACCTCCTAGGAGCCTTTGCCTTGGAAAGACCCTCTCTAATATTGCCTTGCCTTGTTCAGTTCACTTTTCCTACAGTTCATTCATAGCCTCCAATGTCAGCAAGTGTAATATTTCACATTCTGAATTCATGTGACTCTTCCTTTAAAATGGCTACCTACAATGCAGAAGGGAGCAGTGGTCTTCAGTACCAAAACTGCATTAGCACAGTGTTGTGTTCAGGCTGCAGGATCCGGCTAAGACAGCTATGTTGTTTTGGGAATATAAGCTAATATGTTTGTACCTGATTGTACCATATAAATACTGCAAGTCACTTAGGAGCTCTAAAAAAAGCAAACGTTCTCTGTAGTCAGAGTCCAAAAGCAAGAGTTCTGGACCTTGTGTTCTGGACCTTGTATTCTCTACTTTTGATGTGATGGAAATGAGTATGGAAATGAGTATGTTCCCACGTATTAAGACTTAAATGAGGAACCTGGGGAAGATCCTAGGGCTCAACAGAAGCTGGAGATAAAAATAACACCATAAAACTTTTTTCTCAGGATGATTTTTGGCCTTGTGATCTCTAAAAGAGAAATCTGATCTTGCTTTTACAGAAGTGCTGGATTGTGCTCAGAAGCATTTCAGCTGAAGAACAGATATCAAAATTTGAATTCTTTGAGTCACCAACTGACTGCAGACTGTAATCTAAGCTCTAAATTGTGACAATCATTTAGGAGGTGAAGCTTGGACAAAACTACTGGAATGTCTGTGGTGAGCTGCAGAGGACAATGCAGAAATCCCAAAGAGAGCACCAGCTGTGCTAGTTGTATAGCCAGAAGCAATTACAGCCAAATTTGTTTACAGAAGTCAAAGTGAATTAGCCTTACTAAGCAGTGAGTTGTGTTGGTTCAATCATTATTTAGTGCCAACAACACATCAGTTTGGGGAATCAGGGTAGGCATCTCTATACAGCACTGTACTGCACCATGTGGGCATACCAACCCCAGGCAGTCCTACCTCAAAGCATCTCTGGTATACTCTGTTCCAGAGCACACGTAGATATGGTATGTGATGACTAAGGTCATTGAGATTAAATGTGGTTGTGGATGACATCTATTACACCCAGAAGACTATGCTTTTGTTGATTGTGTCTTTTGTAGTCTTCCCAGGCATCTTAATTCAGGCACTGACAGTATTGTAGATTTGTATCTACATACTGGCTTTACTGACCAGTTCATGTTACTCGCATATTTGCTGTTTTTCATTTTAATTTCCTCTCATTCTTTGTGGAGGTGAAATTGAATCTACGGAGTCCAGCTGTTGACCTGTCAGTTAGCTGAATATGGACCCCCATTTTCCTTATACAATGTAGATAGGCTGTGGATGTGGTCTACCTTGACTTCAACAAGGCTGCTCTTGGCTTGGACTGGCACATGCTTCGTTGGGTTAGAAATTGGCTAGATAGCCGGGCCCAAAGAGTCGTGGTAAATGGAGTCAAATCCAGTTGGAGGCTGGTTACTAGTGGCGTTCCCCAGGGCTCGGTTCTGGGACCGGTCCTCTTTAATATCTTCATCGACGATCTGGATGAGGGCATTGAGTGCACCCTCAGTAAGTTCGCAGATGACACCAAGTTAGGCGCGTGTGTCGATCTGCTCGAGGGTAGGAAGGCTTTGCAGGAGGATCTGGATAGGCTGCACCGATGGGCTGAGGCCAACTGCATGAAGTTCAACAAGGCCAAGTGCCGGGTCCTGCACCTGGGGTGCAATAACACCAAGCAGAGCTACAGACTGGGTGAAGAATGGTTGGAAAGCTGCCAGGCGGAGAAGGACCTGGGAGTATTGGTTGATAGTCGGCTGAATATGAGCCAGCAGTGTGCTCAGGTAGCCAAGAAGGCCAGCGGCATCCTGGCTTGTATCAGAAGCAGTGTGGCCAGCAGGGCTAGGGAGGTGATCATCCCCCTGTACTCGGCTCTGGTGAGGCCGCACCTTGAGTACTGTGTTCAGTTTTGGGCCCCTCGCTACAAGAAGGACATGGAGGTGCTTGAGCGAGTCCAGAGAAGGGCGACGAAGCTGGTGAGGGGCCTGGAGAACAAGTCCTACGAGGAGCGGCTGAGGGAGCTGGGCTTGTTCAGCCTGGAGAAGAGGAGGCTCAGGGGTGACCCTATCGCTCTCTACAGGTACCTCAAAGGAGGCTGTAGTGAGGTGGGGGTTGGCCTGTTCTCCCACGTGCCTGGTGACAGGACGAGGGGGAATGGGCTAAAGTTGCACCAGGGGAGTTTTAGGTTGGATGTTAGGAAGAACTTCTTTACCGAAAGGGTTGTTAGGCATTGGAACTGGCTGCCTAGGGCAGTGGTGGAGTCACCATCCCTGGAAGTCTTTAAAAGACATTTAGATGTAGAGCTTAGGGATATGGTTTAGTGGGGACTGTTAGCGTTAGGTCAGAGGTTGGACTCGATGATCTTGAGGTCTCTTCCAACCTAGAAATTCTGTGATTCTGTGATATTAATTCAGAAACACTTATGGACTCTGCTGCAGTTTGTAACATTCTTAATGGCATTTGATATGTCAAAAAATCAAATATTTTGTCAATTTGATTGTGTTATATATTTAATTCTCCTAAATCACATCTGTGGAACAAATGAGGGATTGTTTTTTTGTCAGTAGTGATAAACATGGTATAGTGTTTGGGGCTGTATGACAGTTTTCTAGACTTAGGCCAATGTTTTCTAAAATCTTTGCTGAAGAGGGCCATGATGCTTGTTTTTTAGTCATTGAATATGAGGGTGATTTTTATAAAGTCTCTTCTTAAAAATAAGCATTTGATTTACTTCTGTATATCTACTTAGAACTAAGTCAGCTGCATCACCATGTTTCTTGTCCCTTCCTCACTGTCTCTTTTAACTGTGTTGTTTTTTTTTTTGTTTGTTTGTTTTGTTTTATTTGTTTTGAATATTGTTCTGTTCTGCTTTGCTAACATGTAGCTTCTTCGGGTTGAATATTGATGTTTCGTCTTTTTTCCCCTACTATATTCCCCATCAGATATCTCTAGGTTGTTTTCTGATTTAGCTGCTGTGTTCTGGCTTATGCCTTCACCAGTGCAGTATCCCTCCTGCTGGAGAAAAGAGAGAACTCAGGTGCAGGGAACAGAGGAGATGCTTTATTTGGAATGGAGAATGCACAGACATCTGGCTTTCCGACTTTTAAACAGAAAAATAAGGCCTG